GATTTTCTTTGTTTTGACCAGTTTACACTGAAAGGCAGCCATGAATGCCGTTTTCACATTTCTTATCTAATTCTCCAGTGCTTTTACCTGTAACCGTGTGTTTTAATCTTATATATCCAATGCCTGTTGATACAGTATATTTAATCTATGGATATGTTGTGCCTTTTAAAGCTATATTCAGTAATTGTGTGATGCATTTTTAAAAAGTTTTTTTTTTTAAATTTTAGGTATGCTAGTTCATTCACTCTCAGAAATCTTGAATTTGGAAACTTGTCAAATGCAGTAGCACTTAGCAATTAACAGCCAATTTTTGTTCCAAACTGTTTGTTTGTGTTTTATGTAAGTGGAATTGCATATTTAATTGAAAATAAATTGGTTTTTAAACAAAGAAACGCTTGTCCTTGTTTCTTTTTCACTGAACTTGTTTTAAGAATGGAGACTAATTGAAAACCTCCCAAATTTGATAAGATAAAAGAGAACGCTTAAAGAAAACAAGACAAGTTTCTGAGTGAAAGAACTAGCAGTGCTTCCTTTTTTCCCCTCCCAGCTTGCCAGCAGTGATAAATGCACTGCTGATTAGCTGGAATATTATAGTTGAAAGCCTTTATAGCAGGATAGTACATATTCATATGTACTTTGTGAAAGCCTGATCCATTGCCTAATTATTGTCATTATATTTCAGCTCATGTGAGGTTGCAGTTAATTAGATGCTGTAGTCTTTTGATGCCCCTGTCGGCACAGTATTAGATCAGATTATCATATTTTATTTGAATCAACTGCAGGAATTGTTTCTAAAGCTAAAATAAAGCTGTCAGCGTGACAGCAGTGCAGTTTACTTTGTGTTTTTTGTCTCACACAAAAGAAGAGTAAAAGCCTGTGCTCTCTCTTTGTGCCTTAGGGACCCAGGCACCTCTGGGGGCAGGGTTTGGAAACCCCTTTGCCTCAGCATTGGGCACTAGCTTGGGCTCTTCTACCCTGGGAGGTATTACCTCTGCTTTTTTTTTTTTTTTTTAAATGAATATTCCCTGTTTTCTCATGTGTTTCATTTTTGGCTAGACCCCTGCATACTTTGCCATTTCCCCTAATGTTACCTTGTGGTTAAATCAAAGTGGCTTTTTAAAGAAAATGTATTTGAGTTTGGTTGTATGACAGACTAAGCAGCTGGTGTGTATGTGTCTGACAGAGTGGTGCAGTCAGAGCTTAGCTGTTTCTCTTTTCTGCTCTGCCTTTTGCGAGGAGTCAAGTGCGTTCACACCACACACAAAAACTGCAATCCTATCGTACAGTTGTTACCTGGTAAACAGTTTCACTCAGCTGTCATGGCGAAACGCTGTGGTGTTAAAATACGGGCATGTCAAATTGCAAATCCACTTGAGAGTGTGGAAGCAAGTGGTCTGAGCGCACTCAAAAGTATTGTGTTTTCTCGTAGTTTGGGTATTCGGTGAAATCTGCCGTTTTTCTTCCTTTGGCCTTTGCTTTGCGGTGTAGTGCACTGTGAGTCCTGTTTGATTCTGCAGTATTCGGTCAGAAGTTATGCCAAGTGTGGTGCTCTGTGGATTAGTTTTTGGCTTTTTCTTTTCCTTTTTGCTTGCTTTTGTCTGCTAATGCCTGCCAGTGTGTAACTCCTGAGGCACTTGTTGTTTTTGTATCTAGTCTAGGCTGTGTGCTTAGACCAGTCTGACTTCCATGTCACTCTCTCCCGCAGGTTTTGGTGGTGGGCCAGGATTTGGTGGGGTGGGGACTGGGGGGTCTTCTTTTGCCTTCTCTTCCACCAGTAAGCCCACAGGAGGCAGTCTGAGTGCAGGTACAATACATGCTGTATATAGCACCTTAACACCTGGGCCACCAAACATGATGGCAACAAAGAATAAAGGCTCAGCTCGCTAAGTGTATAAAGTTTGGAAAGGGTCTAAGCTGTAACTGTGTCTCATTAGTGTAATGTAAATGGCACTGCAACAAGTTTAGTATATCCATATTTTAAAGTTATAATGAACGTCCCAGCAGTGGGTAAATACAGTTATATGTGTATGTGTATATATGTTTGTGTGTGTTGGCACTTTAGAATCTTGGGGGTTTTAAGCTAGGATGGCAAAATCCTTATAAAAAACCTCTGAATTTCATTTGAACTTCCTTTTTCTGACACCAGATTTTCTAAATGCTCATGTTATTCATGTTTTTATCTTTTTATTTTTCTCGTATTTGACTGTTTTTTGTTTTTTGTTCCTTGTCTTGCTTTACTAGGTTTTGGTAGCACCAACAGCTCAGGCTTCAACTTCAGCAACCCTGGCATCAACCCCTCTGCCGGCCTGACGTTTGGCGTGTCTAACCCACCTCCTGGAGGCTTTGCCACAGCAGCACCCTTACTCCAGTTGAAGAAGCCCCCAGCTGGTAACAAAAGGGGCAAGAGATAGAAGCGGGAAATGATAGACGCATGTTACTGAGCAGCTGACCAGCTATGGGTTTGTAGCAAGTACAGCTTGATCTCCCAAAAGCATAGAAGACAATGCTAAAATGACCATTACCCAACCAAAACAGAGGAAATACGCTATTCTGAATTGTCCAGTCTTCTACATGCATTTCTTTTTAATTTACCCACATTCACGTTTTCCTGTCGGATCCAACTCTGCAGAGGGATTAGACTACAGAAATTAAAACTGAAGTCCACGAGTGACTCTGTTTTTAGCAGTGATTACTTTTGCCTTTGGTAAAGAAGGGAGGACCCAAATCAATACAGTAGGCAGCGGCATGTAAAGACAGGATAAAATAGCATTTATATCATTTTAAGCATGGATTTAGCTCATTTGCATTGCTTCAGAATGTTTTTCTTTCTGCACACTTTGGTCTGTGGTGCTACAATGCTTTTGGGATTGTTGGCTCACTTGCAAATTGCTCAGTTACTGGTGAGAAATTGCTTAAGCCAGAACATTTTATAAGACGACGTTTTTTCCGTTTTTTTTTTTTTTTTAATGCTTTGAAATGGTTCTGCTGTGCTCCACAAACTGTCAATCACAGAAATGCACTCGAGCGCTTCCCAAACGATCACGTGGCCCAAGGTTCGTCCAGGAAACGATCAGATAAGATTTATGGAGCAATGTTTGTGGCAGAGTTCCCGTCTGAAGTATCAAAGGAGTGTAATATTGCATCCTAGATAGTTTTATAGGCTCCGGAGCGTCCAGGGTTGTTGTTTTTTGTTTTTTTGTTTTTTTTGTTGAGAAGCACAGTTTTATTTTTATATCAAGTAGAGAAAAATATGAGATTTGAGAGGTAAAAGTGGACTAGAACCTTGAGCTGGTCCATTATCTAGCTCATGTAACCTGTGTTTTTTTTGTTTTTTTTCTTTTGCTACTCCATCCTCATTAAATACTTTTAGACACATTATGGTTTTTGGTGTTTTGCCCCTGTGTACTGTTGCAAGAACTTGAGATTCGAAACTCTGTGCTCTTTGTATTACATGACTTCATTAGATGTTAAGTTGGTTGAATTTGAAAGGGATTTCATATGCATATTGTACCTGCTCAGTTTCTACATGTGCTAGAACAAATCTGCACTTTCCAGTGTATGTGACCTGACGGTGATTGTGTGAATGTGCATGTGTTTCTGTCACACAAGTATGAAATTGTCTCTCTGGTCTGATCATATTTCCTTTGAGTACTGGGGCTGGTTGGGGGTCAGATATTCTGCTTTTTTTTTTGTTTGTTTGTTTTTTAAATTGTCCATGTTGTTGTTATTATTTTCTAATCACAGTCTGTGGAATCCTGTATTTTCTAGAAGCTGTTTAATAATAAAATCTCCAATATGATGTTTTGCCTGTTTGTGGCATCACTTCAATAAATGTGTGTTGACACAGGAAAAACTCTGTCATCAATATGTTGTGTGTCACATGCTTTGCAGCAGCTCTTCCTGCATCTGATATATTTTCAAGTCATCACACGAAGCTAAGTTAACCCAGACTGTTTGTGACAACATAATTGTACTATGAAGCTTTCAAGGCTGTAAGCCATGTAATGCCAAAGTTTGGGAAGTTGCCCTAAAATTAACGTTTTCACACTAACTTCTATTGTTCCTTTAAAAAACAAGCACAGTCTAGGTTACAGATTCCTTATAATGTAGTCAGGACCTAAGAGGCCTTCTGAGGGTACATCAGTCTCTCTAAACTCAAAACTAATGTGTTTGTTCTTTTTCAGTGTTACTTTGGTGTTCCACTTTTCTGTCTAAAGTTAAATTTTATCTTAATAAAAAATATTAAAGCCAGTGACCAGTTTCAAAAGAAAGTGTATGTTTAAAGTTTTGAGACTGTAATAAAACCCATAAAGATTCCTCTAAACACATATCTGATTAAATGTATAGTTTATTCAATTTGACCGACAGGTTTTAGCGTTCCTAACATGAGGGAAAAGGTATTTTCCCAATGATCTTACTAAAATAAACTTAGATGAGGGACCACAGTATGCTGTTTGAACACTGATCTCTGCTGAAAATGCCCTTTTGTATATCTGTGTAAATATTCCATTAATAGTTCTAAATTATGATGAATGATTCATTTGTTCCTTACAGCAGGGGGGTGTCTAGAAGGGGAGCAAAGGGGCCTGCATCCTGAAATATGATAGGCTGCCCCATCAAAGTCATTGTATTAGAAATATTACTACATTACTGTGTTATAGTGCCCCAATACAGCATAGAACGGGCCACTAGTGCTACTGATTCTAGCTCTTATTTAAGTAAAGAGTTTTGAAAGTGGCGTTTTGTGCACCAGTTTTTTTCACTGGAGGAAAATTTCTGACTGAATATTGAGATTTATGTCGGTGTTCTCCATGAGTGTCATGTTATTTTCGTCAGACAGATAACGCTGCCTCCACATGAACAGAATCAACTTTCTGGGATTTCCTTAGCTGGATGATTGAGCATGTACCAGGAACAGTCTATAGTGTTTTCAGCAGAGGGGGCAGTAGTGCTCTTCTCGTGGGGTTTCTAATACCACAGGAAGAAGAAGAAGACGCCGTTGCTATGCGACGACGCTACAACACTCCCATGAACTGCTTGGCATAAATAACCATTACTTAGGCTAGCAACTCATATTTCAGGGGCGTCTTCCGGTGACTTTCTGTTCATCAGTCCAGGTAACAGGCCACAGTTTTTAAAGCAAGTACCATACAGTGGATTAATGTCAGTGAACATACTATAATTATGTAATTGAACAAAGGAGAGGGACAATTGGGAGAAAATGTTTCGTGGACTAGAAATTAGTATAAATTTATTAAGTTGAATCGGTAAAAAAACGGTAACAGATGAGAGTGTATATGCAAATTTTAAACTTACTTCTTTGAAACACACTGTGTTCATAATCATATGTCTATATTCCTGTCAAACTCCTATGGAAAAATTTGAAGCACCAGAATGCAGTCTTTATATTAATGATGGTTTTTTTTGTCAGTGCGGGTGAATTTTAGTGTAGTTTTTAATTTTCTATTGGATTCTATTTCTTTTCAACTAATTGGACATTATTGTATTGTTTATATTACAGCCATGCCTCTTCCAGACACATTCTACTGTGCCCAGCAAATCAACATCCCTCCCGAGCTGCCAGACATCCTTAAAGACTTTACTAAGGCAGCCATCCGAACACAGCCCAAGGATTTGTTGCAGTGGTCTACGGCGTAAGTCTTAATGTCTGTCAATGAAGGTTCAGGTTAAGAGTAGAGATGTGTGTGATTGTGTTTTATTCCAGTTTAATTCTCACAAACAGGAGCATAAACCATGTCTCCAGGCTACATCACTGTAGGAAAAAGCAGGCCCCTTTCACCTGTGCGTGTCTTATCTTTGCATTGACTAGCTGTAATTAGATCCCAAGGGCTTTCATGTTAGTGCAGCAGTTAAACTATCTTACTGTCTCGAATAAAGAAAAAACCATGCTAAAAGCACTCGATGATATGGAAATATTCAATTTATTTTCTTTTACCTTTTATTTTCTACCTCTAAGGACTCTCAGCATCCTCTTCTTTTTTATTGACCAATGTAGCTTGGCTTTGTTTATAGCAATAGACAAAGTGAGTCATACAGTGAAGCAAAAAAACAAATCGAGTGCCTCCTGGGTGATGAGATGTTTGTGTTATTAAAGTAATACTTTACCCATTCAGAGATCCTGAAAGTCAATAAATGCATGGAAAGTTATAATTTTTCTTTTCTAATAATGAAGTGAAATATACCACAGCATGCCTGGAAAACCTCTCACAAAGAAAAGCAAAAAAAAAAAAACCAAAACAATTTACTCAGCTGATGGTGTCCATGATAAATCATTTAACATCATTTAACACTGTAACGTTGGACCCAAGAGACATACGCTGGAGCGAATATGATGACAGCAGAACTTTTATTTAACACTGTGGTTTGTTTACTGGGACACAGACACTCCCGCTCTCTCTCTGCTGTCACGTCCGCTCCCCTCCTCCGACTGTCACTGCCAACATATAAAGAGACACAATCACTGTCAGATCCCAGCACACCTGTTCACCCCGCCCCTGCACTGCCCCGGGAGCTCACGGCATCACCCCTCCTCTGCAGCTGGCCAGAGACCACAACCACGCCACAAACATGCTCTTTTTTTATTGCTTTATTTGAATGGTATACTTAGGAAGCTTGGGGGAAGATGAATTTCAGAGAATGGTGATGCTAAACACAGTGTTTAAGAATTCTTTGCTAATTATTATGACTGTGTCCTCTTCCAGATACTTCAGTGCTCTGTCTAAAGGAGAGTGTCTGCCTGTTAAGGACAGGCTGGAATTAAATGTTGCCACCCAGAAGACGGACACTGGGCTGACTCCAGGTCTTCTGAAGATCCTCCACAAACAGGTAGTTTCTCAACAGCAGGCTCGTAACCTGTAGAAGTTGTCGCACAAATAAAAACTTTATTCTCACTGCATTTTACTTTATCACATATTTGCGTTTTGTCATTTACTGTTTTGCTCTTATGGGTATAATTATAACTTCCATTGAGTTTAATGTCTAACTTTGATTACTCTTCTATTCTTTTATGCGTGTTTTTATGTGTGTGTCTCCATATTGCAGTGATGTTTCCCGTGTGGGTCATTAAAGTTTCATATTGTTTTAAATCCATTTTATCTCACCTGGGCTGTTTGCTGGCATCTCGGTGTGGCAGATTCATTAAAAGAAATGAATAATTAATATTTCCTTAAAAGCTAGCACTTAAGCAGCAGCATTAATCTTGTGAGAGTGCTGCTCTTTTGCTGTCTCGAGTTATTCATTTTGTAACATTTTAAACTGCATTGATAGTAGAAAGTCTGAAAGAAATCCAGAAAATCTGGATGCAAAACAAATGCAGATCTGTGCCATTATTTGAGAGATTATTATTAGTGTTTATATCCTGTTCAAATCGACTTTTTATTTGGATTACTGTGCATTAGTATTTGCGGTTATTTATGCCCTGGCTGTCCACATATAAAAGTCTAGAGAAAAAAGGGATTGTAAGTAAATAGAGCCACCAGATTCTCCATATCCAACCTTGTTGTTTATTTGTGGAAATAGGACTCATTTCAGATTTTATCTAGAAAGTGAATAACTAGATTTTCTTCCACCTAAAGTCTCCTAACCCCCCATTTTTTATAATCAAATCATAGCTATCGCCCAAGAAAACCTGTAGCAAAGAGGAACTGCAGGCGAAGTGGAAGGGCCTGTGTCTACCTGTGGCTCAGCTGGAGACCCTGCTGTCGCTGGGCAGCTTTGGCTCAGATATCGACTGGATGGACTTTTTTGCCCTGGGCTGCAGCGCTCTTGGAGGGGTGAGGTGTTCACAATCCTGGCTATAAATGCAAATACAACTTTATATACTTCTTCCTTTGAGCCTTAAAAACCTGGTGCGAGGCCAAGCACAGCTGGAGATCCTCCAGCAGCACACTCTAGTCTCCAGGTGTTAATGTTAGATCCAGGAATTTGCAATGCAGTCTCCATCATCGGGGTCCCCTGGCTCCAAAAAAGAGTGACTGGATAAATCCTTTAGCAGCTACTTGAATCTTCGCTTCGCTGTTAAGCCAATGATTTTTTTTTTTTTGGCTTCACAGATTCAGATAGAGCAGTAGTGACAGATCAAAGAGAATTTATTTAAGCATGAAGAACTTTACAGAAGATAAGTTGGTGTCTAGGAAATCAAATGCAGTTAAGCATTAACAGCATTATGTGCTCAGTGTTAGTAATTTGGGTAGAATTCTACTCCTGTTCTTGAACACAGGCTCTTGAACACTTTAACCACACGAGGGCACTCTTATGCTACTTAGATTTAGCTGTCTGAGTTACAGTGTGTGCATGCAAGTATATTTGCAGTGTGTCTTGCTTAAATGGAATGCGACAGCAAACTAATTCTTTGTTTTTGTGGCAACACACATCCTCAGACTCTTATCAGTTCACTTAAGTTTGCCTGCGAGATCCTAACAGAGGATGAGACGGGTGGTGCCGCAAAGATCCCGTTCGACACCTTTGTCAGGCTCTACACTTACCTGGCTCAGCTAGACGGGGACGTGCCACAGGAACACATTGACAACTTCCTCAGCAGTCTGCAGCCACAAGTGTAGGTGTCATTTTCTCCTCAGATGTATAGCTGTCAGTCACACCACAAGCATAATGGGTGTAGTAGTGGACAATTTAGCTATTTTGTATGCATAACTATTTTTTTTTTTTTCACACAGCGTAATTAGTTTCCCAGTTTGAATTATTTCTTCAGCCCGAGCTAAAAAAAAAAGTTTTGTTTGTTTAAAAATAATATTTTACTCTTTTGTAATTCAGTCATAACTCTGGATGTGCTAAGCAGTGTTTTAACTCTGTTGGCCCAACATTTCTGCCAGTCAGTGTCAGTTGGCTCAGAAGCACAGACAGTTTAAGCGCTAAGCCATTTCCCACTAGCCTCAGATAATGTTGTGAGATTGTGATGTTCAGTGTTGTGAAAATCCCTATGCTGCTGAGTGGAGCTGTTGCACTGATTCGCTGGTTTCTCTGCCCGACAGCAACAAGCAGAACGGCATGATTCAGGTTTCCAACTTCTACCCCAGCAGGAAGGGAGGGAAGCAGTAGCAGAAAGCAGTGGAAGAAAGAAGTTAGAAATAGGAATAAGGAAATGATGGCACCCAATTAATAAATGGAGCAGCTAACGCTTCGTCAAGCACAGCTGTTTTTCCAAAAAGAAATTGGTCCCATTAATTGTTGGCATCAGCCACTGTGGCCGATTATTCATCAGTGTCCGGCTGAATCAAGCCGCTATTATGAGTCGGGTTGGATTTAATGAGCAGCAATAGAAGCACAAAGCTGCCATGCTCAAACTGTCAGGTAGGGCGTGTGTGTATGCTTTTTATTTCCCATTCCCGTATGACTCGGCTAGTGAAGTTCATTTATCATGCACGCTGCCTATCAGCTTGCAGCCTCGCCACATTTGGCCTCTCTGCTCGCGTCTGCATTTCACCCAGCAGACCAAAAAAAAAAAAAGGAAGTCAAATAGATAAGCGCCTACGCCACAAGAGTGTGATTTTCAGCTTGCGTTAGAGACTTGTGTTATATTCACTCCTCTGTGCGGTACTGTAAACAAACACAGGCACATTTCAACACCAGTGACAGTGACAGTGTGAAAGGTCCTGAGGTCCAGAGATACAGTATGACTGTTATTAACATATTTGCCTCTCATACAAACACACACAAAACTGCTACGTCGGAGGTATTTCAACAGACAGCATAACAAACGGGATCAGAAAAAATTCCGTTTTCAGACACTTTTGGCATTTGGTCGCAGGGGTGGAGGATACACGCACACACAGATACTGTAGCTTACCCCTTCCAGGATTGCAACTGTGGTCAAGTCAAAGAAGACTGGAAGACAGATAGAGCCCCCACTAACTCGATAACTGCAGGCTCTCCGCCCATATGACACAGCAGAGAAAGAATTTTGTCAGGGCTTCCAACAGTGATCTTTTTGTGCAACGCCCACGTTAGAACTGAGTAAATGAGCGCGCTGAAAATAACTCAGTATTAACTGTAATCTGCTCATAATGCTTTTATATTTGGAAAGATTCCTATTTGTATTGATAGCTTTTATGTCTGGGTGAAGTCTGAAGCAGAGATAACTCTGGTATCAAAGATTTAGCACACGATGCAGGCAGCGCATAATTTGTCTTCATTAAATAACACAACATTCAGAAGCCATGCGTGAGGATGTGGATCGCCCAGCTGGAATTACAAGGTTAAATAGGACGAGATTTTTAGCTGTACTTATATTGTATTAAAAGAGGTATATAAATTGACAAGTGGAAAACATAAACACTGATTTGAACTTGGTTTCCTGTGGATCTTTTTTTTCCAGGAACCGATGAACCTCTTTTGATAAGGAAATCAGGAAGTTTTTGATTCTGTGCAGGGTTTTCTCATATACAGGAATTTGCGGCAACCCCACACGTTTTATGCATAGCCAGAGGAAATATAACAGTTCCTTTTTTAACTACTTATTAGAGATTCATTCACCATTACATAGTGGACATTACTGTGTATCAGTTGCACAGAAATAATAAAAAAAAACAACCATTGATTTTTCAAAATACAGACTAGCCTTGACTGATCATTTTTTATAAGGATTATAAAAACGCCCCATTTTGAAACCGGAAAAACCCTGCGGGGCTATATATGTAGTTTTTTTTCTTTTCTCAAAAAAGTACATGTTTGTGAGCTGGTACTTTCCAGTGATCTAGGAATTACCCTTAATGCTGTTACTGCTTACAATAAAACACTATGTTGAAAGCTCAGTTGTGTATTTATTCAGTCTGCAAGCAAGCACTATTGCTTGCATGAGTGTTAGGGGCTTCTATTTGAAAGCTTTTTGATCTAGTGAATTATTATGTCGTTGTTAATTGGATTTAGATACTCTGGTAATGTTGCTACAGTAAAACAGCAAAGTAGTAAAAACATGTCTTTCACCCTGTGCACATAATTTCCTCGAGATTTACAAAATCCAAGCCTCGTGACAGCAAATTACAAAGAGCAGCATCCTGTTGACTTAAATCAAACTAAACCTGGCAAAGCTGGCAAACTGCATGTGTTTTGAGACACAACATGTTCTTGTTCTTTAGAAAAATGTCTGTCTTGTCAGTCACACCTGTCTTGGTTGACAGTTCTAGTAAAGTAAAAATACAATCCACCAAGAATGCTGTGGCCTCAACACAGAGAAGCATTACTATCCTCCTCCTTATCATCATTAGTTTATTTATTGAAAACACGTTGAGGGATAGCCATAGAGGTGCTGAGGTACACAGTAAGGTGCAGAAGTAAATCTATGGAGCAGCAAAAGAAGAATAGATTGCAAATCACTGTATATGTAAATACCTACTGTTTAAATGCAACACATTATATGCTCCTCACAAAGCATTCCTTGGATATCCTCAAATTTCTCTCCAATAAAAACTTCTGTTTAGGGGCATCTTGCACTATAATAGTCAGGCTTACAGTTACAGATGCTGTGTGCCCCCTTTGTTTTAGGATGTTAGAACATGGAAAAACATGATGTAATTGCAAAGATGTCAGTGGTTTAGGAATCTCAGCTTTAGGGTGGACCTTGTTGCGCAGCCTTTACTGTTTCTCCAACTTTTGCTCACAACATCACATCTCCAGGGACGTGACAAATGTTGCAGGGCAGTGCGAAGGAAAAAAAAAAAGGCAGTAGAAGAGAGAGCAGACACAAAGGCTTCATACAGTGACTCTGTTGTGTAAGAGATTTCGGGGTAAGGATAAGGGAAAACATATTTCTAGCTGTTTTCTGAAGTTGCAGAATTTATCGTTCTGTGAGCTGTATTGTTGAACTGGGTTGAGCTAGACTCCACTTTGGGAGCATGAGAGCATTGTTGGTTTGAAAGATTTATGGGTCGGTTTTATCAGTCGGTTGGAAAATCTACATAAGTAATCTGTGATGACTGGAGATGTTTGTATGAATTGTTTTGCTGTACATACATATATATGAATGAAATGAATTTAATTGACATGTAACATATTTAATGCATGTATATTACAGGGAACTGCAACATGGGATGATAAAGCCACTGGACTTTATCTGCTGGGACGATGTGGCTTCAGCTCCATAACAAACCATGCACACCGAAGCTGGAGGTTTAACAGTGGAGGTGGATTCGAATCCTAAAAGGATTGTGCATCATGTGCTGATATGTCAAAAATAAGGAAATGATCTGGAAATACTGTCTACATTGTAAATGCTAAAAACAGAAATATGGCTGATACGTCTGGGGTGTACGCTCACCGCCATCTTTAAGATGGGCACCTGTCAATCAAGCAAAGACCCGCAAAGCATTTTCTCTTTGAGCCTCATTATCTTCCTAATGGAACAGTGATCTTAAAATCCCCACTGTGACACATATCAGCAGGTGTGAATTTAATTATTGAGACTTAAACTCGTTCAAAAAAAAATACTGTAATTACTTTTTGCATTTTGAGAGAGGACCTCGGGGTGAGGGGTGGGGGTGCTTCATCAGATTCTGGGATTTATTGCATCCATTATCATGCAGCCGTTGGAGGACCAGCATTTTATACAGCTTGATAAGTCCCTTGTACAGTAGCATTACCTACATGATTATGCACAGTCATTAGTTGCTCTGCAAGACGGCCAAAAAGAAAGTACGCCCTTTTCACTTTGAAGATTTTATATATCAGGACTTCTTAAAAATTATCTGGTCCTTACCAGGTTCTAAAATGATTTAATGAGACGAAGGATGAGCAACATCACGTGAAATATTACACAGTTTCATTATTTGATTAATGAAAATCAATGTGTGTGAAAAACTAAGTAAACTGTGTGATTCTGCAGCTGCCTGAAGTGATAGTTTTTTGTGTGACTTTATCAGTCTCTCACATCACTGTGAAGGGATTTAGCTGTTGTACTCCTTCCATTAACTGGGGTTTTCTTGCATTTATTTATGCACAGTTCTATTAAGGTCCCACCACAGTGTTTCAGTCAGGTTGAGGTCCAGACTTTGACAGCACCTTGATTCTTTTCTTTTTCAACCATTCAGTTGTAGATTATATGGTGTGTTTGGTTTCATTGATCTGTTGCACGACTCGATTTAGGCAAAGCTTTAGTTGTTTGACAACAGCCTCACATTTGACTCTAGAACACTTTAGTATATAGAAGACTTCACGGTCATCTCAATGACTGGAAGGTGTCCAGGTCCAAAGCTGCAAAACAATTCCAAATCATCACCCCTGTGCTTTACAGTTAGTATGAGGTGTTTGTGCTCATATGCTGTGTTTGGTGTCTAAAATTAGATTGCCAAGGATGCCAACACTGTCACTAAAACCTGCCACAAATATTGTCAGACAGAGTCAATCTGTTGGCATACGGTCTGTTAATTGTATGCAGTTTACATATCTGTTCCCATCTACATAGACAGAAATTCACATTTAACTATTATAACCTTCCTGTTTTTTGGGATACAGTATAACCAACCTCTTCGAGTTGTTGTCATTGACAAAGACGCATTCAGACTGATGGAAACATGCTGGCAATCTGTCTGCATTTATTAATTAGACAGCATAATCTCAGAGTGGTTGCAGTTCAGGGTCAGACTGGGACTGTTTGCAGAAAGGTTGCCTCCTATCAGGTGAAATGAGTCCTCTGGGGTGAGTTGCCTGCTCTTGCAAAGATTACATCTAACTTGTTTTCCACTTGTGAATAATTCTTCTTACAGCAGAATGATGAACCAGATTAGTTGGAGATCACCCCACAACCAATCCCAGATGGCCATCAAGAATTGGTAATCTAAGGTCTTTGCTGATGTCTTTCCTCCATGTCTTCCTCCTTAACACACACTTAAATGCTACAGACTAGTACTAACAGCTGCTGATGATCAGTTGATCAAGTGCATTGGATTAACAGCACCTTGCTGCTACTTACTGTCTTAATTCCAATATTATGTAAGGTTGCACTTGTTTGTAGTTTGCCATACTTTTTATTGAATAAATAATAACCCAGTGTAATGCTTCATGTGTTGTTGCCTAGTGGAGGATGTATACTTGAATCCTTAAAACTGAAAGACGATTTTTAAAGATTTTTTTTTAATTAATCTATTTACAAGCCTGATTTTGTCTTTGGTCTGGCATCATGCTACCAATACGTAACACTGATTGGTACAGCCTGTATTTG